CGATTGTATGCCAATTACCATGTTGCTCTTTTATTAGATTACATGATACCATATTGCATATGTAAAAGTAGCTAGTGGAGTGGTTCTTCAAAAGTTCTCATTATAAGAAAAAAATGTTGTTACTATGTATGGTGATGGATATTAACTGAACTTATTGTAGTGTCATTTTGTAATACATACAAGTACCAAATAATTACATTGTATACTTGAACCTAATATAATGTCAATTATAGCTCTAAAAAATGTCCTAAGTGAAGAAATAAAAACAAACTTATTTAAACTGAATAAGCAATTAACAGTTCTATAAAACCCTTGGCTATTGAAATATAGGTTATGAAATGCTATTTCAAGTTGAAATAATGAGAAAACCATCCCAAGGACATTTGATAAATTCATAACTATAGTTGAAGGTCTGAAACTGACCTTGTATTTTAAACCTCACTCCCAGAGGGTTACATCTCCCACAGTCCATGCCCAATGTACGAAAGTTCAGTCCCTGAAACCCTCCCCTGAGGTTTTCCACAGAGATCTAATCCTCATGTAATTAAGTATTCAACTTATTTTTTTTTTTACACATTATTGTGAAGTGTTCATAAATCTGTAGAGGTGATTTTTTTCTCTTAAATACTCACTGGGGGCTCAGGGAAAGGGACAGGCTCTCCAGCATTCTTCAGCAAAACTGCATAACGTTTTAGAAACAGATCATCCAATTTTATCTTCTTTGCAGTCAAACTTTCATACAGTGCTTTGGCAGATGAGACATCTTTGTCCACGCCTGAAGAAAGAGGTATTAGTCACAGATAAAAGACAACCTATTTCATCTTTCCCCAGAACATTTAACTATAGAGGGACTCCTGTCTTCCTACCCGGATCACTTTATCCCAAATTAACACTTAACTAACTTAGCAAAAGGCACATTCAGAATCTACAAGCACCCTCACTCCTTCCCCACACCTCGCATTCATGGAGTGTGTGCGTGTGCAAGTACTATTTCACTTAAGTGGGTGAGGGAGTAGCCCAGGAGCTACTAGAAGGTTTAGCTGGCTAATTTGCAGAAGTTTTCTTTTTACGTTTACTGCTAAGATTACAGGGGCTCTGCTATTAACTGCTGGTAACTGTTAACATCTAGGCCCCTAACAACCCCCTTACCCTACACTAATGTTCTATAAACAACCCCAACAGTGGCAGCACCAGGGCGGGCCTCCAGAATGGGCATGAGAAGTTTAGGAATCCACCGAAAAGGGAGCAAGGGTGATGACACACCAGCTCTCACTGGGTGTGAACAGATCTTTGTCGGTTGGGTAAACTCAGTTTCCTGTGTCAATTCTTTCCCTGCCGTGCCAAGAGCTCATCTTCCAGGAAGCCGCTCAGAAAGGCCGACCTTCCTGTCACCACTTCCTGCTCCCCCTGCTGCTTCTCCCAAGTGGGTTACACAGTAATAGTCTGGTGTTGTCTGACCCTATTTCATGTTACTTAGTTATTATTTAATATCTGCCAATGGAACTTTGAGGTTTATGATTATAGCTGTTTTAAAATACTTCATGTTCTCCTGACAAGGGTGGAAAACCAGAGAACCAATTTACTAATTCTGATTGTAATCTCTTGTCCTGCCAACGATAAAATCAAAAAAGCAGTTATTTACCTCCTGACTCAAGTGAGCAAATCAGTGGTTGGCAGATGGGTAGGTGATCAAAACTTAGAAATGCTACCGTGTATTTTGATTACTGAGGAAAATTTAGACTGATTCCCTCTCATATGTGATGGGCAGGCAATCAGGAAACTGCCTGAAAGAGGAATTTCAACTGTGACTTAAGGTAAAACTTTGGAGCCCATTTTTAGTAAAGGGCCTGTTATTTCAAAGGCCTCAGTAGGCAAGGAGGGTATTGAAGGAGCAAGAAGGCAAGGCAAGTGGTAGTCTCGAGTATGTACCTATTTCATGCAGTGTTTCAGGTGGCAGGGCCTTGGGGAGACTGGACTGGTTCCCAGTATGTAAACCCAAGTGGACTCCCAAGACTTCCCAGGAGCCCGGGATCCCACTGAACACACAGGGCCTCTCTGAAGATGCTCAGTGATACCTGTTTTTATGTTAGGGGTATATGAATAATTTCATATTTTTCTCATAGTTTTTAAACATATTCTAAAGCTAAGTAAATTATTTATATAATTATCTGATATTTATGATTTCTACCTTGAGCTACAGACCAACTTAGTTGGCTATATTACAATTATTTAAATCACTTAAATAATATAGTCAGAATAAACTAATTACCACAGCTTTTCATGATGGAAGTGTATACTTCTTCTTTTTCAATTAATTCAGGAATCAGTTCTACTAAAGATCTCAATATTGGTGCCTAGGATATTAAAAGAGAAGTCAGAAGAACTGTGAGATAAAACACTGATATATAAACATTAAATCACAAAATCTTGACAATAATTACAACAGAACTGCCTACTCAATTTAATGGATTATTTCCCTTCTGTATACAGGCTGGGTTCAGTTCCAGACCACTGCAAGAAAGCAAGTTGTAATTTTATTTGCTAGCTTAAATTTGTAAAAAAAAAAAAAAAAAAAAAAAAAAGCAACATGGCCTGGCTGGCATAACTCAGTGGTTAAGCATCAGCCTATGAACCAGGAGGCCACGGTTCAATTCCCGGTCAGGGCACAAGCTGGGGTTGCAGGCTTGATCTCAAAGATGGGGCGTGCAGAGGCAGCTAATCAGATTCTCTCTCATCAATGATTTTCTATATCACCCTTCCTCTCCCTCCCTCTCTGAATTCAATAAAAATATACCAAAAAATTAGCAATTAGGCAAAAAAAGTTTTTTTAAGAGTGTGTGTGTGTGTGGGGGGAGGGCGGGGGTGGGGCACGTGGAGGGAGAGGTGGGGAGAAGTGTGTAGAAATTAAGGAAGTCTTAGACCTTCCAGACTGGAGACAACCTAAATGTTTCACAATAAAACAAAAGTTATAATTGGCAATCAATTTGAAACTTCATAATGTGCCTAAAGAAACTAAGAATGGGGTTCCTGGTGCTCAACAGGTAAAATCAGATCTAAATAATTTTTTTTTGAAATATGCTTTTATTTATTTTTAAAAATATATTTCATTGACTTTTTACAGAGAGGAAGGGAGAGGGATAGAAAGTTAGGAATATCGATGAGAGAAACATCGATGAGAGAAACATCGATCAGCTGCCTCCTGCACACCCCCTACTGGGAATGTGCTGCAACCAAGGTACATGCCCTTGACTGGAATCGAACCTGGGACCCTTCAGTCCAGTCTGCAGTGCTCTATCCACTGAGCCAAACCGGCCAGGGCTTAGTTTAGCCTTTCTCCTCTTTGATTGCTTGCTAGATTTGCATAGCAAATGGTTAGTTAAAACCCAATGGAATTTCACCCGATGGTTGTCCAGCATTCACAGGGTCCCCTCCGTGCCCTGCTCTTTCCAATTCGCCGCCTGTCCACTTGCTGACTTGGCAGTATGTCCACGAAGCGTCTGCCAGCTCTGCAACCTGCCAGCCAGGCTTGTGGCGATAGAGAGCTAGAAACATCAATGAGAGAGAAACATCGATCAGCTGCCTCCTACACACCTCCCACCTGGGAATGTGCTGCAACCAAGGTACATGCCCTTGACTGGAATCGAACCTGGGACCCTTCAGTCCAGTCTGCAGGCCGACGATCTATCCACTGAGCCAAACCAGCCAGGGCTATTCTTCTGTTTTTTTAAATCAAAAGTAGGACTTGGTTCTGTTCTACGCACCATGCACGAATCTCTTAGTGCACATAAGGTAAGTGCACAAATTGAGAACAATAATTTTTGGCACATACCGGTTTTAAGGGCCACAGGCGAACCTACCAGATGGTTAAAAATGGCCTGTGATGAGGGGAATGTTTCTGCACACTGTTATACGTACCAAGTGACCTAAGCAACAGGATTTTTATCTCCTGTTTCTCTGGACCCTTCCTGGGGGCTACTAATGCATATAACTATGTGCACAGAGCATTCACTGCATGAACTTGTTTTACGTTTCCAGTTCAACTAAGGAGCCACACCAACTTTCTATCAACATTTAAATATATATTTTATTGATTTTATAGAGAGGAAGGGAGAGAGATAGAGAGTTTGAAACATCGATGAGAGAGAAACATCGATCACCTGCCTCCTGCACACCTCCCACTGGGGATGTGCCCGCAACCAAGGTACATGCCCTTGACCGGAATCGAACCCAGGACCCTCAGTCCACAGGCCAACGCTCTATTCACCGAGCCTAACCTAGGGCATCTATCAACATTTAAAAATGTAAACAAGTACAGACAAGTAAAGTCTTCAATCTTCAGTGTTTTTAGATCAGGCCCTGAAGCAACTGGCTTATAGCATCATTGACTTGTCAGCAAGTTAAGCATAGTACCTTTCCTGGGCTCCGAGAACTCCTCATAAAGAACACCACGAAAATTGGGGTTTGCTCAGCAATTGCACCACATCTCTAAAAATTGAAACATTACTCAGTAAGTGAAGGTTTCTGATAAACAAGCAGACCAAGGCAATTATTTCCAATTAAGAAAGTTCACAATAATACAGAAAGTATCATTACTAATAGGAGGGCCTAGTGGTCGACCAATATTTTTAAGGCAAGAAAAAAGAACAATGTCAAGCTTTTGTGACTGCTACCCTTAGGATTGTAAGTATAAAAGTTTGTTTAAAAAGACAAGGGAAAAATTAAACTAGTGCTTCAACAAACCACAGAATAAGGTTTAGGACTGCAAAGAAAGAGGAAAAAAAGAAACACTACTCCTCTCCAATTATACTGCCAAGCATTCACAAGTGAGCTAGGGATCATAAGGTTAATTATACATTTAATAAGGTGTCAGGGAGATAACTGCTCGTTTCTTTATAAAAATTAAAATGTACAAAGCAAGTTCTCTTTAAAGTATAATTACCTACACTTATGCATACAAAAGGACTGATTTCAATCTCTCTATTTTATAAAAGGCTTTCATCGCGACAGCCAGTGCTTGAGAAAGAGACAAAAGTTAAACTAAAAAAAAAAAGTTTATATGACAGACCAGATAAATCAAGTGTCTACCCAATCTTAGCTGCAATAGTAAAATCAAATATGGCAAGACAATATTTTAGTTTACACTCTTCGTAGATGTCATTCCTTAAGTTTCTAAAAGCTCATTCCTCTTTCAAAGCTTTAAAACATTGTCAATACTAAAACGAATAGTATAAAAAGAACTTTTGGGGACCCACAGAACATTTACATTATAAACTGATGTTTTCGACATCTGTGAATAAAGTATTCTTCGGCACAGTAAGTATAACCTTTTACTGTTTGACAAGCAGGTAAAGGATGGGTAAAGGCTTTATCATTTGAAACCTCAGTCTACTGAAGGGATGAAAACGAAAGACTGCTGCTGTTGCCTAACACTCAGCGGTCACCAAGAGCTGCTAGGCAGGCCTCCGTGGCTGAATGCAGCTCCGAGGGCAGCAGGCTCCCACCCCAGGTGCTGTCAGTCGTGCTAAGAGCCTTGAAAGACTCTGGCTCAGAACAAGCTGGTAGAGGAAATAACAACTGCCACCCTTCTAAAGAACCACCAAAATAATGTGTTAAAATTGAACAAATACTACCACATGAATAATTAGATATAACTAGTGTACCCTAGAAGGTACACTGAGAAATGTACACACAAAGATAAAGCATTCGAGTTTATTTCTTTTAAGAGAGAACTTGAAATACTAAAGGCAGGAAGATTAAAAAATTCCTGAAATCCCTATCATAAACTTCCTTTTCTGTTTTGTTGTGTTTTTTTTGAAGGTAAAGAAACCAAACCAACCAATAGAATTTTTAATTACCTGGAATTTCTCTCTGGCCAGAAAAAGAAGTACAAAAGCCTTAGAGACAGTGCCAATGTACACTTTTTACAAAACTGTTAACAGAGATATTTCTCAGGCATACCTCTTAAAAATGGCTTGGATTCTACTGTCAAACTAGATGAACTTTAAGGATGGAACGAGAGCTCAGGTAAATGGGTAGTTCTATCATCCCTCTCTATTACTTAACAATGTAAGTGAATATAATATCATTTACTATCAGAAATCGGCCCCAGGCCTCAATCTAACACAGGAGTCTACACAAACACCGCCGTTGGCAGGATCACGGTGACTGTTTGACTGCCGCCTGCTGGGAAGGGGCTCCGCAGTGGTGCCTGTTTGTGTACATTGCCAGCGGCAGCTCCGATCACCCACTGTTCCCCACTTGGAGCAGCTTTATATTTAGTGCTGCTAAAATAGCAGGAGTGCCACTGTCCCCTACCCTGAGGATTGCTAATTTAACTGAGAGTGTGGGCCACAGAGACCTGCATTTGTCGTTTCATGTGTCTGCAACACACAAGTGAACAGAAAGCAAATGCAACTCTTAATAAACCTCGAATAAGGCATGAAAATGTTTGAGTGTTCAAGTGAGAAGCGGTACTTGAAAAGCAAACATTTCCTACTTTTTGTTTGCAAACTGTGTTGCCATGGTGATGCACAGTATTTAGAGCATTAGAGAAATTAAAGTAGGAAATCAAAGGAATTGTTTCCTATCTGTAGAGAAACATTTGTCTTTAAATCATTTCATCAAAACAAGTCTTCCCTCTGCCCCCTCCCCACTAAAATCTAAGGACATTTCCAATCTGATTTGGCACAGCATCCCACAATTCACAATCCAGTCCTTATCGTGCAACCTTGACTCACAATGAACTTAAATGTGCTAGCACTACAATTCCATTCTAATATTCTACCACACACTCGTGTCAAGTAATTTCTCAATTTACTTCTCACGAGCCATCAGCCCCACTGCTCCATGTGTGGTGGGTCATTACCTGTAGGAGGGCTCTGGCATCATCCACCTTGCCTGAATCCACAAGCTGAAGGAAAAGGTCGGTGACAGGTTTGTACACTGCAAACTGATTGGCCAATCTCTCTGCCATGATGCTTACTGAAAAAAATGACAGGGAAGAAAAAATCTTTCATTTAAACCATCCACCAAAGAAATGTGGTCCAGCCTCACTAGAGAGAAAATGTGGTGCTGTTTTGTGTGTGTGCTTGTTTTTTGTTCTTTTTATAAAAGCAAAAAACACAGCTAACTTACTCTTTTCAAGTGCTGGATCCAACTGCTCCTCTATTACTTTTCTGAATAAGTATGCCAAGCCAAAATACTGGGTTTCCATGGTCTGATTCCCTGAAGTAAGCAAATTTTCAATGTTTTCTATTGCAACATCTACGTTATTGCTGTAAAATAAAGTTGTAGTTGCTTAGACAAAATTAAACTACTATATATACAAGCATTATAACTTAAAAAATTGTATCTTAAATATTTAATTTGATTTTGTAGCTCTTTGGATATAAAATAAAAGCTTGTGTAAGTGCTACAACTTTGGCTGTATTATCCACAATGGTCACTACTGCATAAAGTAGTTAATATGTATCACCTCAGTATTCTTAAAGATGCTGATGATGTCTTTAAAAGGTGTACTTTCAAATCTCTCAACCCATAGTCACCATGACTTTTTTTCTGTCAGGTATTATAGAACATTTGAAAAATATTCAATTTATACTAAAATTATCAGAAAAAAGTATCTTCACACTTTACATTAAAAATTCAATTACACAGCCTTATTTAACAAGTTACAGTAAAAGAATTATCTTTATAACTTTTTGGGTAAGGTTCTCTTTAGTTGCTACTTTACAGTTATGGCTCTCCAACTAATTTTATGTTGAAATTATTACCTAAAACATAAGAATTCTCTAACTAAAAATGAACACCCATTACAATAAATTTTTCTTACAGGTCTTAGTTAGAAAAATTATTCACTAGTAAATAAAAACATATTCTCCACATCACAGATAACTGTGCTTATATGATAATATTTAAAAATTCCTCTGCTCTTACTTGGATAATTTCCTTGAACTTAACAAAATCACATTTTTCTCCTTAAAGGGAAAGTTTAAAGTTCTATTGGGGAAATAGTTTTAAAAGGGAAAACAAAAGACAACGTCTCCGCCCAAAGATATAGAAACAAAAAAAACACCTAAAATACACAGACGTTACATTTTAGTATCATAACCCATTAAATATATGTAAGATTAACTACTAAAGAACATTTTTTTCTAAAGGCCTGAAGAGGTCAATTCCATAATTATCCTCATGAATTTTGAACTTGAGAAAGTTAATAAAAATCAAGTTACTTCTTTCTACAGTGGTGATTCTCACAAGGAATTTAGAGTTGGTGGTAAGAGAATCACCTCTATATCCCTCCTTTTTTGTGGAGCTGTAATGACAGGATGGATGGAAGGAGGGTGGGAAAAGAGAAACTCCTATTTCTAACAAGCTTGCTGGGCCTTCTATTTCACAATGTTCTAGTAGACTGTCACCCTGAGTGTTGTTGGCAATCAATGAATTCATTTTTCACTTCTGTAACAACGTGTTTCCACAAGGGCCTGGTCTGTATGAATGAGAACAGTCAGCAACCGTCAAACAAATTTTACGAATCTGATAAATGTTCTTTATTCTGATTTAATTTAAAGCTAACACACATTTCATAATGTATAATAAAGTATTCCCAAACAGTTAGAGAATGATCAGCAACTGGTGTCAATATTTCCTCTTCAGTTGATATGGTTTCTAATAGCTTTAAAAAGTTTTAAAAGGTAGTATTAGAGGTAATGCTCCTCCCAGCATCTGATGGAGAAAAAGAAAGCTTGAAAATACTCACTTCTTTATTTGTGCCAAAGCAATGTTATTGATGAAAACCATATTTGAAAGTCCAATCAACTCTTCGAGTCCATTTACCATCTTCTGAATTGCTTGTATGCTTTCTAAATCACCCTTCAAAGCACACGCCTGAATCAGGCGGGTCACTGCTATCTTAGAAGGTGTCTGCCCCTGATCCAAGGCCGTCTTTAGCAGTGTTAGAGCCTCTACAATAGAAGACCAGGTGACAGAGTTTTTCTTGTATTAACCATAATGATTTTAATGCACTTTGAAAACCAGCTTTTAAATATAAACACCAAATGGCTATAGACAAAAAGCTATGAATAATTTATCCTAGATTACAGAAAATATTAACACTTTATAAAAAAAACCTAAAAAATGACAATTTATTTGACTACTTATAAGATAGAGACCAGAGAAATGTCTTCTTTAAGTCACAGAAAATACAAATGATATTGAAAGAATGTGGGTACCATTCTGGGAAAACATTTAGTGACTAATTTTAAGGAAGTTAACAAGTTCAGAGAAATATAAATAAGAATTTTAAAAATTAAAATTTCCAAAAATACGTAATTTCTACTATATTTATACTTTCCCATAGATTAGATGATTATCAAATCTTCTAATATTCCAAAGATTCTTTCTTGAAAACAGTATCTTTTTCTAGTCCAAACAGGATCAATCATGCAAAAGCAGCCAAACTTAAACATTCAACTTTCACACTAGCAGACTTATTTTACACTACTGAATAATTTCTTGTAGATAGTTTCTTGCACTCATTTTTCTAAGAAAATAAAACTCACCAGATTCCCATAGATATAGCTACAGGAGTTTTTTTTTCCTAAGTATCATACTTTACATTACCTGATTATGGATACATTTAGAACATCCTTCTGATTTAATGACTCGTGCAAGTGTAGTGAAATCATTATATTAAATAAAGTGGTGGATTGAGGGAAAATATAATACTTAGCATAACAATTAACACTACTACCAAAAAAACCCTTCACAGCTTACAGCAATTAAAGCAATGTAACCTAGACAGAACTAAGACTCTCAAAGCAGCTTTCCAAATAAGGA